AGCAACATCCTATTTCCGATCACAGAATTAACAAAGTAGCAGGTTTCTTACCTCGAGGTATTCCAGATGGCGTTCCACTTCTAACCATTCCTCCTCTGCTCAGTAATCGAACACTCCCTCCCGGCTCATTTCTCTCAAATCCATCGTTATAAGTACACTCGCTCTCAGATTCACCTGCATCCACTTCCATCGCATCATCATCTCAATAAATTGATTTATAATTTATATTCTCTCACTGTAAATGTATTTATGATTAGCCTCCAAATTTTCTGTCACGGAGCACACTTAAGTCGAGGTCGCTGTTCACCATGAAGTTTTATCATCAGAAGGCATTTAGCAGAAAAGTTTGAAATCTTTGCTGCCTACAGAACGCTTCTATAAAAGGAGTTGTAGACGATTCAATCACAGTAGATGTAATGAAGTCTCGAGATAGCAGACGCGTCGTAGTAGAAATGGCGCAAAGGCAATTGCCTTGTCCCTAGTTCGGATAATCGCAAATTTCACTCGCGCTATGCGCAGAACTTATTATATTCAAAAAGGTCTGCAGAATGCAAGCAAGATATTTCTGTCTTTCTTCTATTCTCTTGAAAATTTTCATTAGCGCTGGAAATTGTCTTATCTGGAAGGTAGCAGTGGGACAAAAAAAATTTAGAAAATGGAGTGGTAGAAGAAAGCAAATGTGTGTGTACGTTTCGCTTGCATTTCGCACTATTCTAAAATGCAAAACATTTGTACTTGGAGTGCAGCCCTAAAAATTTTGCCAACGTGTCTTGTGCGCGACGTTTATAGTGTATCTACTCCACTACACTGTAATTGCATCATCCACAATACTTTTTATATTAGCGCAGATGGCCAATGCAGAATCAAAACCCTTCTTCCCCAGACCTTTCGGTATGTATAAACCTTATGGTGCTCCGACCTATAATTACTTCCTTGTTAGAAAAGACGTTCACTATAGGGCTACAACTCAAAAGCGATTCTTTCAAAAATCAAAGATCAAACAGGCGATTACCCATTATCAACTAACCTTCTTGTTTTAAACTTTGCATAGAAGTTGTTCTGGACTGAAATAAACTTGCTCAAATTGACTGATTACCCTTGGCTAATTATTCAGTCAACTTTCACACCTGCCGCTCTGACCTATCCTGAAGCGCACTTTCTCGATCGCGTGCAGCAT